TGTTCTCACTGAATCTGCCCTTGCAGAGCAGAGCTAAAAAAAAGTGCAAATTGAGCGAAATGAGGCATGGCTAAAATGCATGATCTGTTTGGTATTTTGAAAAGAAAAAAGTATAAATATGCCTTATATAGGTATGGTCCTACACTATATTATTCAAATATAGCATGATAGGTCCACGTTAAGAAACATTCATTCATTTGGGGTGTTAGGAGATGGCCATACATGGTAGAAAGTACATGTGGAACTCTGTTTTGTAAAAGTGAAACTAAAACCTAAGTACAGTTTTATTAATGTGATTGTGACCTTTGTAATCATTTAAGTCTTCTACACACTTTAGGTCTGCAGCTCCTTCAAAATAAGTTTTGTATCATTTATATAGTAAATGTTTTGAATTTGCTATAAAGGTCAATAATAGATGGTATTTTTGTGTTCAATCACAGTATTTATTTACCATTTTATACCTCTTGTGTTTTTGGGTCTTGTTGAAATAAAATAGTCATGTTTTAAAACTTGATTTAATAAAGTCATGTCAATCATCTTTGATCCCAGTGTGACACAAACAGCTTTGTTCAGTCTAAAACAATTTATAACCTAGAGACATAATATAACTGAAGAACATGTTGTGTTGCTGTTGTGTATTGTATGTGTTGAGAATGCTGAACATTTTGTGCCTTACAATAAAGGAACTTATTTAAATTAAGCTGTATTTGTCTTTTTAAAAGGAAAGAACAACTATAAAAAACAAAACAATAAATCACCTAACACATGTATACATAACACAAAACAAGGTTCTTTTAAATGTTGTTTGAAGTCAAATGTTAACTATCCGTATTATATTCACTTCAGATGAATAGTATCAGAAAATGTAAAATAAGAAACCAAAGTATATCAGTAGGTGATTCTCTTTGCCATTGTTTTCATCGAGTCTATACTTTTACAACAATTAAATTCTTGGTTTTGGTGGGCCACCCCAAGATTTTCAGTGGCCCCATTTGGCCACCCCTATGAAACATTTCTGGAGGCGCCACTGCTGTACACATGCCGCAGTTTTTGCGTGGCTGTGTCTTAGTTGAAAGCCCAGTGGCGATCTGTTCATCTGTCATACTGATCATACAGTCAATACCTTTGTTGTTATTAGCATCTGGTTAGCTAGCTATGCTAACGAATATAAGAAGCTTTTTCTCCAACCAGTGAGGTAAAGGCACATCTTTATATGATCATTATAGTTATAAAAAAACAAAATAATAAAGTAAACAGGTATAAAATACTATATGACAGTAAAATAAAGTTGTTATTAATAAACAAGAATACAGTTTGAAAGGGGAGTGATTTGTAAAATATCCATAAAGAAAAAATAAATCTGCTTACAGTTCTGTTTCATATGGGTGTTGAGAGATGTCTCCATAGATCTCTTAATTTTGCTCTCAAAGTGCACCAGATTGATGCTTTTAATCAATCGGGGGGAGCATGCCCCCCCAGACCCCCCTAGAGGAGGTTAGGTCCCCCCCCCCCCCCCCCCCCCCCCCCCCCCCCCCCCCCCCCCCCCCCCCCCCCACTTATTCACATGGATAGGAAACTAAATACATTTGCACACATCTTGTGTCCATATCTTTCTGTTTTGGTGGTCATGCCACAACCGTGCACGTGCATGCATGCGCGAGTCATGGTAAGATATCTGAATTAAGAGGTTGCTTTTTCTTTGCACAGCATGAAAGAAAGGCCAAATGAATGGGCTGTGATTTTAGTATTTTTAAGCAGAGGTCAATAATTTGTACGGCCCTCGGAGGATGTTGAAAAAATTGAAATGGCCCTTGAGAGGAAAAAGGTTCCCCACCCCTGACATAAGGGGATGTTATTTTTGGAGAGAGTGTTCTGTTAAATAAAATATTTGCCTAAACTAAAAGATAGGAATTACATAAAAATCCTTAACTCCTTTGATTTAAAAATGGGAATGCCAGTTGTGTTTTCTAAACTGACAAATAATATAAATTGCTGCTTGATTTACTGTACACTGCCATCTATTTAGCATGCATTACATCACTGTCTGGAGGGATCCCTTGCATGCCTCAGTTTTTGATGACATTTCAGAAATGGTAAGATCCTTTTATTACTAGGTCTTTCCCAAGCCAATATTGTACTTTGTACTCCACTTATTTAACAAAAGTATTTACTCGTTATTAACATATTCAGATTATAAACTTGCGATAAAAAATATAATAATGTTGAATATAGCAAACTAATTGGGCAAGTCAGATTTAAAGGCTTGTATTAACTCAATAATGCCAGAGTTGGAACTAGTTGAGAAGATGCATGCTAATTGCATTTTTTTAAGGAGAGCAAGTTCATTATTTTTTTGGAGCTTTAGTAAACATGAAATGTTCATGTTATATGGGACTTTTAGGTCCAAAATAGATCCCATGACCTTTCATGGTTATGCTCAATGAAAGGTTTGGGATTAATTCATTACAATTAATTATCTGGGGAAACATTTATGAACTATATCAACAACAAATCAACATCATCATCCCAAGAGGCACATAATATAAAAATGTCACTCGTCACCGGCTTGATCTTCAATATCAGGATACATGTATTTATTATCCTTGCAAGAATGGAAGTAGTCATCACACACACAGCTGCATGGGACAAATAGTTCCCCGAACAGTGTCCTTCACATGCATATACAAGAGAGTGTTACAGTCACAAGATGCAGAATACCGGTTCAAATCAGTATTCAATGTTTAGTTCAGATTAGCTATGGCCTGCGTAAGCAATAAACTTGGCAGTCATATGTCTATCTCCATAGAGGCTGAATCATCATGTTAATCGTTGTCGCTATCATATGCCTAAAAAGTCCTGAGGCTCTTCTAAGTAATCATATATCCGGTTACGTACACAGCTACGTACAGTAGGGTCTTTGTTATCATGTGCTACTCTGATATTGGAAGAGTACATTCAGTATTTTCCCAACACTAGGCAAGCCAAGGCAAAACAAGGCAAGACAAGGCAAGCATATATAGCACCTTTCAACACAAGGCACCTAATTTTGTGTTTCCCAGAAGATATGCACCATTTCACAGCAATTTGTCTGCGACGTTCTGTCTCCCTGGCATGCAAATCAGATAACAATGGGCCATTCTTTACCCTTATGTGGGCTGATAAATCTTAACGTCTAAATAAGGGGACGTTATTTTTAGAGAAAATGTTCTGTTGAGAATGTTCTGTTTCATTAAATATTTGCCTAGGAATTACATGAAAATCCTTAACACCTTTGATTTAAAAATGGAAATGCCAGTTGTGTTTTCCAAAATGACAAATAGTATAGCTTGCTGTTTGATTTACTGTACACTGCCATATACTGTAGTTAGCATGCATTACATCACTGTCTGGAGGGCTCACTTTTTTGTTTTGTTTTTGATGACATTTTTTGATAACCACCTTTGTATTACCAGGTCCTCCCCAGCTTCAGCCTCTCCTCCAAATATGGTCACATCTAGCATCTTTCAGGAGTCCTTTGGGACATTTGCTATCCTGTTTACTGTCATGTGCTCGGAAGCAGACTGAGGGCAACGGATGCCGACTGACCCAATTAACTGATTCACAAGGTCATGCACTGTAGGAGCTGAGCTGACTCATTGGCGGCTGTGACAGATAAAGATCCTGTCCAAGGTATCATCTTGGGCAATGACGCCTAGATGCAATACAGAACACCGCAGGAAGTCATAACCGCCTGCGGCCATCACTGTTTACAGTAACTGCTTCCTCAGAGGGTCAGGCACTCTGACTCAATAGACTGGTAATGGACTGTTTTCAGCATTAGTAGCTTAAACAATCTTAAACTGTGCAAAACCAACAAAATACTTAAGGTGTAAAACATGTGCAATACTTCACATACCAATAACATAGTAATGATTATATTAGGATTATGTCTATTATGAGCAATAATCACTATGTTTAGTGTGTTATTGAATATTGTATTCCTTTTTCTCTTTTTATCTCAGGTATAGTGTTTATTGCACTGTTGGATGAGCCTGGTAAGACTTTGCCAATGAATTGAATCTGGATTGTATTTGTGCAAAACTTTGAATGTACAATACAACAACAAATGGCTCCCGTGGGGATTGCCTACAGTGTTGAGTGTATGTAGGTCGTTTTGGATAAAAGCATCTAACAAGTGACATGTAATGATGATGATGATGATTATGGCGATGATGATGAGCAGCTCCATTTTCAACAGCAACAAAGCCACACTTTCAAGCCAAGATTTAAAAAAGAAATTCATACATTTAGCACACGGTCACAATCACCAAAGACCAGTGGTGTAAAGTAACTAAGTACATGTATTCAAGTAATGTTGTTAAGTTAAATGTTGAGGTCCTATTACTTTACTTGAGTATTTTAGTTTGTTGCTACTACTACTTTTAATCCATACAATTCAGAGGTAAATTGTATGTTTTTACTCCATTACATGTATTTAAAACCTTTAGTTACTTTGCATGTTTGGATTATTGATGTGAAACACAATCAAGACTTTAAATACTTTATTTTACCCTGGAGTGAAATTCACAAGCTACCCTGCACTATACAAAGTAATTAAAACTAGCTGCACCTTTACCAGCTTTGATAACACTTTAATGCATAGATACTTATAATCAAAATATATATATTATTCTGAAATGGACTGATCCGCATACTATACTTTTGGTACTCAAAGTCAATTTTGTTGCCAATACTTTTGGACTTTTACTTGCTGTGAGTTACATATCACTCTGGTACTTCTACTTTTACTTAAATTCAAGATCTGAGTAGGCCACTTTTCCCACCTATGCCAAAGACACTGCCTCAAGACACTTTAAAGATATTTGACCTGGGGTTTAATTTTATATTGGATTCTGGGATTGACTGGTGAACAAAGAACAATAATCTGATTCTGAGTAGGCCTACAGTATTTATTTCTTCCGTGTCTTCCACTGCTGGCAGAGAGAAACGTTTTATTTTGTCCCTGTCACTGCCTTTCCTCCCCGCTGCACCGGGCGGCGGTAATGCGCCCATAAACTGCTTAGTCATCCGGCAACCATTCCAACGAAGAAGAAGACGCAGCAGAAAGAAACATGCACTGATGCTGCTAAGTGGAGCAAACAGTAAGTTAGTGTACACATTAAGAGGGGTTCGTGAAACGTGTTTTAAATCATCGCACTGTTTGTTAGGTGTAAGGAAGAAAGTGTGTTTTGTGGTCATGTTGTGTTCAAATGGTGCCAGGTGTCATCAGTGTTGTCAATAGCAATAGCAACACGCTCCCATGACGTTGTTGAGTGTTTGTAAAGTTATCATCAGAGGTGGGAGAAGTACTCAGATCTTGTACTCAGGTAAAAGTAGAAATACCAGAGTGTAGTGAGACTCTGTTACAAGTAAAAGTCCTGCATTTGAAATGTTACTCAAGTACAACAGTATTAGCATCAAAATATACTTAAAGTACCAAAAAGTAGTAGGCCTACTCATTATGCAGATCAGTCCATTTCAGAATAATATAATATGTTTTGGTTATAATTATTGATGCATTAATCTGTTTATCAAAGCTGGTAAAGGTGCAGCTAGTTTGAATCACTTTGTATACTGCAGGGTAGCTTCTGAATTTACTCCAGGCGCAACTAAAGTCTTATTTAAGTTTTGATTATATTTTGCATTATAAATCAAAATGGGCAACATTTTGGAAAAAATAAGGAATTTTCAATTAAAAACTGTAAAACAATATTCATATTAAAAAAAAAAAAAAATTGACTTATTTAATTGATTTCAAGGCATTGAGATACATTAATGGTTCTTAATTGATTAATCGAATAACATAAAACAAAGTTTTCACCTTCAGTCCATAATAAGGGATCTGTGTGACTGAATATATGCCAAATAATGTCTTTAAGGAGAGCTTTGTTTTAATAGCAAGTGTATTGCTCCGCTACTGTTTATGACTTTTGTTGTTCTTTCATAAATATTAGCAGAAAGATTCAACATGGCAACCCCGGTGTCTGTGCTCCGCCTGCCAAAAGGACCCGACCCCAACAGCCGAGGATTTGACCCCAAATCACCTCGCTTCATCGCCCTCTGTCGAACCTCCATTGCCACTTCTGCCTCGTCAGAGACAAACGCTGAGCAGCTCCCGATAGAGCAGCATGCACGATCTGTGCTGAGAGAGACCTTCCTCCGATGTCTCCTCTCCATGACCAACAAGAAGGTTCAGTTTCTCATGCATGAGAGGGTGAAGGTGGAGGCCACGTTTGGGGCGTCTGACATCGACGTGCTGAACTTTCAGGTGTCCGACCTGCACACTCCCATCGGGGTGCAGAAAGAGGCACTGATCAGGTGTCAGGATGTGATTTCATTCACTTTCGATTCATGAACATTTAAGGCTTTTGTTTCCTGTTTAAACGGCACATACTATTTGGTATAAGAGGCACTTGGGAGTCTCATTTGTTGTTGCAAGAGAGCTCTATTTTCATACTGTGAGATGGTTATATGTTTTATATATGTTTGGTTGTTGTCAATCCTGTCGGAATATTTCGGCCAATCGTACTGCTCTCTGTGGCTGCTTTTAGAAATCCAACACTGACGAGCAGTCCCCCTTTTTCAGCACAAGAGGGAGACGTTTGCTTGGGATTTGGTTATATCAGACCATATCTGACATATCTCTCACAATAACATCCAGGAAGTGTTTGTAATCGATGTTGCTTTCATAATGCAGCCATGAAGACCAGGAAATCGAACGATCAAACCAATATTTAACCTTGATCACAAACTGTATTTTTGTTTTATAATCTTTTGGAGGCTCTGCAGATCATCAACACTGTTATTATATTTTGAGAGATGCATTGTCATTTATTATTTACTGAGGTAAATGAAACATTCCACAAATTACTTTTTGAATTATCAATTTTGTATTCTGTTATTATAAAGATAAATGGAAAGTTAATATTCGATAAAGGTTGATGTTGCTTAAGAAAAAAAACGTCTTATTAATGTGTAACCCCCAGACCACTACATCCTTCGACACTATTTCATATTTTGAATACTCTATTTCATGATAATTTCTTGAGCAAATTGAATTATCAAGTGTTTCTCTATTCACTCTAATAGAGTATAGTTTATTTCTTTGTCATCAGAATGACCCAGTAAGGTTCACAAGAGACGCAATCATTGATTAATCAATACAATGAATTTGCAACTACTTTTGCTAATCAATTCTATCACTTTACAAACAATAATGCCAGGACAATATATGTTTATCAATTGTGAGAATGTGCTGCCCTTCCATGTCTCACTTGGTATAGGAAATTGAGATGGTCCTTGCTGTCTAGTGTTAAAAGCGTTATACAAACATTAGGAACATGGTTAATGCACAATAATGGCATTTACATTTTTATTTTCAATGTAATTGTCAACAAGTGGGAGCGATATTATGAGGATGGATCACATTGTTATACAATTGAATGTCGCCTGGTTAAGTTATGAACGTTAACAAAGCGTACTACATGTTTGAATGCTGCTTATGTATGTACAGTGTACATCATATCTGCTCATCTTTTTGTGTGTTGGTCTTTGTACTGTGCTCATTGTAAGTTCAAACCAATGAACAATTAGCTTAAAATAAGAGAAAGTGAGCAGAAGGTTGTTGCATTGATGGAGTCTGACCTTCAGCCGAGGGAAGTCGTGGTCCTGCACCTGAGCCAGCAAGTAGCCGCCCTTCTCCAGAGCAAAGTGAAGGACGTTCCTGCTCTCGGTGAGTTGTATCTTTATATTTGATTTGAGTATCTTTGTATTCGTGCTACATCTCTTAATACATTTGTTTGCATCTATTTGTATGTATTCTGCCTATTGGTGTATTGCATCTCTAGTTTTTTTACATCTCTGTAGTAGTCTTCCTTTCATCTCATTGCGTAAAAGATTCTCTGTAGTCATCTCATGTCTCTTGTACTGTAGTGATCTTTCTCTCTTCCGTCGATCTCTAGTCGTTTTATATCTCGTAGTGGTTTTCAAGCTCTTTGCAATACCCTGCATTTCTTTGTTGTCATGATCTCACATCTCTGTTACAATTATCTGTCTTTGTAATTGTTTTGCATCTCTTCATAGAAATAAGGAATCTCTTTTTGCATCTCTGTGGGCATTTTGCATGAGTTGCATCTTTCCATGATGGTGTTGCATCTCTTCATTACGTTTAATTGCAGCATTTCTGTGAGAATTTGTAAGTCTCTTCAAATAAAGGTCAGGCCACGGGGGCTACGAAACACCTTGAGCCCTGGGGCCTGTTCCCAATATGCCCATTCAGTAATCCTTCAATGAATATGAAACGTCAGTCATATCTGAATCGGTAAATGCCAGAAAAAACTGAACATTGATTGAGTTGTTTTCAGTCACAGATCCAATACATTTATGGAGTGGGATATTTACCTCAATGAAAGTAACAGGCCCTCAAACATACTGAGGTCTGTGATCGATCAGGCGAACATCAGATCATTCTTCCTGAATGTTTCTGTAATCTAACACAGCCGACATTGAGATATTCATCTGTTAGTCACTTGTTTAAATCATTGGTCATAAATACAGAAGAGCAGGATTTATCATTGTTTAGCTCTGTTCTCATGGGGAGGGGGAGCAGGCGGCATCAATACTATTTAATCTTCCTAAAAGGTGTATTTTGCTAGTTCCCAATAAGTCATTTTATTTGAGTGCCATTAGGCGGTCGTGCCGTGCCTGTGTTTCTTTCTGTAGCTGAATTATCTGACCACTCAGTGGAGACAGTCATCAATGAGGCAGTGACTCATCCTCCCTCTCTATCTCTCTGCGTCTCTCGCCCTCCCTAATCCAAAATATGACTTAAACCTTGTATGACGTCATCCAGCCTTGTGATTCAATCAGGAAGGCCTCAAGGACAACCAATGTTAATTTTAAATACACAGGCTTGTGCTCTCAGTTCTCGCTCTAACCTCTGTGATGAGTGTCCAAACATCAGCAGGGACACACTGTACATAAACATGTGCACTTCCATTACTACTTCTCTTCATTTCTGAGATGTTTTACTCCAAAGCTGTAGATTGAACAAAACATTGACCATTAAAGAACATATGACGGCTTGTTAAAAAAAAACTGCAAAGATAAGATTTTCTAAATGACTATTTATTAAATAGAGATACTGATTATTTTAGTGAATGCATATTCAGAAGTGTTATGATAAAATATGGTTCAAATCTATCCAGACAGGGTGGTCCTAACTCATGATTTGATGATGTTGGCCAATACTAGGGCTAGGGCGGTGGTGGCTCAGTCCGTAGGGACTCGGCCTGGGAACCGGAAGGTTACCGGTTCGAGTACGACCAAGTGACTACCGAGGCGCTGTCCCTACACTGCTCCCAGATCGCCAACCTAATGGCTGCTCACTGCTCCTAACACTAGGATGGGTCAAATGCAGAGATCAGTCCGGCAGTGGCTCAGTCAGTAGGGGCTTGGACTGGGAGCTGTAGGGTCGCCGGTTCAAGTCCCCGACCAGACCTAAAATGTGGAGTGTGGACTGCTACTTGGAGAGGTCCCAGTTCACCTCCTGCCCTGCTGTGGTGCCCTTGAGCAAGGCACCGAACTTCCCCCCTCACTCCCATTGCTCCCCGGGCGCTGTACAATAGCTGCCCACTGCTCCTAGTACTAGACTCCTGGTACTCGGAAGGGTTAAATACAGAGGCCAAATTTCACTGTGTCTGCATGTGTGACCATTAAAGAGGGTTTCATCCCTCCCAATTCTATTACTGACATCACATATATTTTGTGTTTGCTCACTATTTTATTTTTTAGTAATGGAAGAAAGTGCATATTGTGAAGGGATCTCTCTTTTTTCATATTATGCTTTGTTACAACTTGTTTCTGCCATCCGTTTAGTGGCCAAAAACATCTGTTTACTGCTTAATGGAAATCATAAATGAGACTTTGACTTTATTGCATGTGTAGTGGTAGTTTTAAACAGAAAACAGGACAGATTTGTTTTGCTGTTTTTAAAACTTGGCCCCCATTTATTTCAATTCATCCAGAGTTTTCTCAGTTTTCCGTCCACTGCCGAGACATTTTCTTCAAGAATTCCAAGTAAAACAGAATTGATATGCTGATTTACTGACAATATATAGTTTTAAAAGTTCATTTTTCATAAGACTAATCTTTGCTGAAGAACGCGTGCTGGATTCATGTTCTCTAACTTGTAGCTGTGCACAGGGACACACTGTCTCAATGTTATCTACTCTTACTGTTTGTCTTTCCCCCTGACAGTCTGCTTCTCCCTGATTTCAGTAGAAAAACATTCCTGCCGCTTAGTATGCATGTGTATTTGTGTGTGTGGGTCTGTGTGTGTCAATTATGATGGTACAATGAATCTGCCCTGTATAACATCGCTGGCCAACAGGAAGCACATTCCGCTCCTTCCTGTTTGTGGCCCTCTCTCACTTCCTAGTAAGTGTCTGATAACTTACAAAACCACTTAATCACCCTTTGGCACAAAACCCCTGCCAGCATAATGAAATAACTGAACAGTGACCTCACCATTGTGTATGTTTGGTACTTTTTATTATGGACATGATGGAGGAGAGGATGATGATTCACGAGATAGCATTCGTTAATGAAGTATTCTCAAGTATTTTTGTTCTAACAAAGGTCAAACAGTGACAGAATAACTGTTCACTCTTTTTTACTTCACCTTTAAATAACATTTAGTTGTTGACTTACTGTACTCATTGTCAAAGACCATGTTTTTGTCTAGCATATCTACAATAAATAATATAAAAAATACTGTCTTATGTGGTCTTTACTGGAGCACCACCAACAGGTAGACATTTTCAAATATTATTTAAAATAACATCTACTCTATGTATTGGCAAAATTGTTATATGGGTCCTTTGTACACTGTCCTAAGGACTTTGGTGGCCCCTTTTCTTAGAGCCTTACATCATGATCATTTTCGAGTCGGTTTAATGTAATAATAAATTCAATTTATAAAGCACCTTTCATTGCTAACAGCAATCCCAAGGTGCACTGTGTCTAAGACTTTGGTTTTTGTCCGAATACCTGCAAATCCATCCCCACATAACAGCAACAGCATGTTAATAGTGCGCGTGTGGTTCTAGTCTTTGTCTGAAATCACACCCTATAGTGCATTACATTTGACTTTCCGCCATTTTATTTGAATGTCTGAATTCAGAGTGAATTTCATGTACTTCCCTCATAAAAAAAAAAAAAAAAAAAAACTTCCACAATGGAAGGAAAACTGCTAACAACCCCCACATAGCAATAAATACTGTAAAACCCTGGTTTCCCACCTTTTCTAAAGGGACCCCTTGTCCGTCATTCAGTAGACTGACGACCCCCGGGTAAGTGACATATTTCATGGATTTCAATAAGTTACAATAAGTAACTTTTAATAACATTTTCTGTCCGTATTGTTTTTTTAATTTGAATGATCATACATTGACCCAATAGGCTTTCTTTTTTGATGATTTCAGTGTTTTATTCTTCATGACGCTTGGACATTGTTTTATTAAATCTTTGGTGGTTATACTTTTGCGATGCTGGATAAGGTTGTTTAGCAGAGCGAATGCTCTCTGAATAAAGCACACTGCGCCCAAGGCTCAAGGGCCTCTTTTAATCATCCTTTTTATCTTTTTATCATTTGTAGACATTATCACTATAATCGTTATTATATGAAAAGTAAGGTGTAAAATATAGGCATCAGTTACGACAAAAAGAACAAACCCCATGTACATCTTTGCGAACAGTCATTCATGACTGCATTTGTTTAGGTGTGACTAAAAGGTGATATTTACTGTAGAGTGCTCACTGGAGGTGTTGTTGAAGCAGCCAGACAGGCAGACTCGAGAGGAATGGCTGAGTCACCGCCAGTCCTAGGTTTGTTTGAGTTGCCGCCGTAGGGGAATGTTGGAGGAGCTCCAGCGATTGTGAGGACCAGGCGCTGTGTGGCAG